GAGAGCCTGGCGAGCCCCCGCTCTTCTCCCGGCCCTCCACCCCCAAGACCTCGCGGGCAGTGAGCCCAGCGACCTCCCAGTCACCCCCTTCAAGCATCGCGAGCAGGTCCGGGGACAAGCCCGGGAGGACCCGGAGCCGTGGGCCGGTGGGCAGGACAGAGACGGGGGAAGGCCCGCAGCAGGAAGTTAGGCGGCGGGACCAGTTCCCTCTGACCCGGGGCAGAGCCATCCAAGAGTGCAGGACCCCCGTGCCACCCCCTACCGCTGATCCTCCTGAGGCCAGGACAAAAGCCCCTTCAGGTCGGAAGCGGGAGCCCCCAGCGCAGGCCGTGCGCTTCCTTCCCTGGGCCACGCCGGGCCTGGAGGGAGCTGCTGTGCCCCAAACCTTGGAGAAGAATAGGGCGGGGCCTGAAGCGGAAAAGAGGCTGCGCCGAGGGCCGGAGGAGGATGGCCCCTGGGGACCCTGGGACCGCAGAGGGGCCCGCAACCAAGGCAAAGGTCGCCGGGTCCGGCCCACCTCTCCTGAACTCGGTAAGGCAGCGAGAGGGCTGGGAATGTCCCCATGCCTGGGTGACAGGGACTTTGGGGGACTTTAGGGCTGCTTTTAAGAACAAGAGCTAGCTTGGGGCTGCTAGGCTGCCTGTAAGGGTGCTGTTGGTACCGACAGGCTCCGGTTGCAGTGGAGGACTGTGAAGGTCCTTGTGCCAAAACGTGCCACTGGTGAGGTGGAGTGCGAATATGTTTGAAATGAGGCCGAACGGAGCTGGGGTGTGAGCAAGACTGATGACCAGATGCCTGCTATAGTTTCCCTAAGGTCCAGTGACCCTGCTGTGTCACATTTCATCAATGGGAAGAGGCACTGGTGGGAACCTAAGGAGCCCTCAGTGCCCCTCCCTCCCGCTGTGGGAGAAGAGACCTCACTCTGCCCTTCCCTTCCCAGCACCATCCCCTGACCCAGCTGTAGCCACTGAGGTTTGACTTGGCCTCCCTTTCTAGCCTCCTCTCTCCATGCCCTCCATCCTGCATCTCTGAGATGACTGGTCCTTACACATGACAGTCTATGTGTGTCTGCTACCTTCTCAGGGGCAATGAGCAACATCACCAACTGGAGAATGCTGCTGCCCCAAACCTACACGTCCTGAACAGAACCTTGTCTCATTCCTGGAGAGGAAGAAGAAGCCATCCTTGACTAGTTTCCACTCCCTGCTGCTTCTCCCTCCTAATACCTCTCCCCACTGTGCCTGGGAGACCCAGCCAGTATCATTGACTTACTACCACCTTGTATTTTTCTACATCAAAATTATTTTGTTTTTAAGTACAACCACCTTAAAGCCTTTAGGGATGATAAGGCTCCCATCCATCATCCTACTAATCACCATCACTGCATACCCCCACCATGTCCCAGGCGTTGTGTTCACTTGGCCCACAGGGTATAGGCTATCTCATTTCAGCCTGTATGCCAGCTCTGCAATGTATTGGGTGTTATCCCTCCATCTTCCAGATAACACAACCAAGGCTCAGAAAGATTATCTCATTTGCCCCAGGTGGTGTTGCTAGAAATCAGCAGAATTGGGATCTTCACTGCCTTTTGGGCTGTCTGCATTGTCCTTTATCTAACTTAGAGATTGTCTAGGTTGGAAAATACCCAGAGAGAATCAGGACAGTGGGGTTTTATTATCACTTTGTATGAGCTCTCTATAAGCATAGATCACATCTTATTTCCTGTCATGTCCCGGGTACCCATCAGTGCTCTGTATGCAGTAAGGACAGTGTTACTATCTGGTGAAGGGATAAAATCAAGGCTGATATTCCTAGGCCCTGCCAGTCCTTCTGCTGCTCCTTCTTTGGAGTCTGATGGCCTCAATATTTTGACAGTTCCGCACCTGTTGCCCTGTGCAACTAGTGTTACCACTTACGTCTTGGCTACTCAGCTTGACCTCTGTTTGAAACTGACACAGTCTTGTGATGCTCCAAGTGCTTCACACAGAGCCTGTGATGCCACATATAATGACTGGTTCATGTGAAGACACCCACAGCATGCCCTCACCTTCCTCCAGAAGCCAATACTAATTATGGATGAAGTGGGGGCTCCGCTGCCCTGTCCAGAGAACCTTCCTTCTGGCTTTCTCTTCCTTGTCTCAGGACATGGCGGAAAGAGACTATTTGCTCCCCCAGCTTTGCCTTGCAGAAGCCTCTCTGAGGCTTGGCTTTCTAGGATGCGGGGCTCCAGTCATCCCTCAGAGATGGAGTCCTCTTAACTATCACCCCTGTGTCCGGCAGAGTCCTCAGATGACTCCTATGTATCCGCTGGAGAAGAGCCCCTGGAGGCCCCGGTGTTTGAGATCTCCCTGCAGAACATGGTGGTGGCACCAGGGGCTGATGTGCTACTCAAGTGCATCATCACTGCCAACCCCCCGCCTCAAGGTGAGCAGCGGGGCAGGAGCTGGGAGGGGCTGATATGGCACATGTGGGACAGGGAGGGGGTGGTTTGCCCAGAATCCTTTGAGGGAGGGCTGGGTAGGAGGGGAGCCATCCACTCCCTGAGGGCTGCCTTAACTTGGTTCAAGTGGATTGCTCAGGACCCTTCCCCCCACACCTCCCAGGGAGGAGGGCAAATTTCTTAGAGTTTTGTGGGGTGGGGAGAGGAGTGGTTTGGCTTCTTGGAAGGGCTGGGTGAGAGTTGTCCAGCAAGCCTCTGTGGACCATGGTGAGCTGGTTCCTGCCACTTCCCCGCAGTGTCATGGCACAAGGATGGGTCGGTGCTCCGCAGTGAGGGCCGACTGCTCCTCCGCTCTGAGGGTGAGCGCCACACCCTGCTGCTCAGGGAGGCCCAGGCAGCTGATGCAGGAAGCTACATGGCCACCGCCACCAACGAGCTGGGCCAGGCCAGCTGTGCTGCCTCACTGGCTGTGAGACCTGGTAGGGAGCCCGTCGAGCCCAGGTCTGGGTGGGGTGAGCTATGACCCTTCCTCGTGGTTCTGAGGTCATTGCCCAGATTACCTTCCCATGTGTAGCCGAGAGTTTGGTTTCTCAGACAGGTTGTACAATCCTTTCTTGTGTGTCACACTCCCACCTCCTGTCCCAGAGAAAGCATTTTCAGTGGTCCTATCATCAGGGCAAGGCCCACATTCCCAAGGTATACCCCAGGCTGGCCAATTCACAGCCAGTGAAATTTATCTTTTAGACAGCCTCCAAATGCCATCTTCCTGTGGCAATTCCCTGAGCTGGGTCTGTGGGGAAGGCATATTATCTTTGAATCTCTGAGATAAAGAGTCTTCCAGCTCAAAGGGCTGGACAGCCACCAGGAGCCTTTTGAAGGCATTTTCTTCTAGGACAGGCCAGCCCCAGTAAAGAGTGGCTTTCAAGTGACACTCTGCTTCTCCTGTTGAACCCCAAGCTCTGAAGAGGTGCAGCTAAGAGCACCTTCTGGAGGTGTGAGCCTGCCTGGAGTGCTGAGCCTGCCTTGTTTTCTATTTTTATGAAACCTCACTTGGTGTTGGACTGCTTCCTTTGGGTTGCAGCCCAGTTTCTCTCTGACTCAGGCTGGGCTGGACTGCTGTCAGTATGCATAGCCAGTTCTGCTCATTCAGGTGGCTGGGCCTGATGTCATCCTGGTCCTGGGCAGCAGGACAGGGGCAGGGAAGGATGAGTAGAGGGTATCATAGGAGGCAAAGGCACAAGCTCAAATCTCAAGTGGTTTACCATCGGGCGTCCAGACCTAGCCTGAGGACAACACAGGACAGGTGCATCCAGCGCAAGAACAGTTGAGCATTGGTCATTGTTCTGCGAGATGCCAGGGCTGGAAGGAGGCTGGGAGTTAGACTGGGTGGGGGTGCCGAGCAAGCCAGGAGGAAAACAACACACACTGTTTTTTTTTTTTTGCTGCGAGAGATAAGACAACAGAGCCCACATGTGTGGTCCCAGGGCCTTAGACCACTGCATTGCAGAGATGTCTCGGTGGGGTCTGATCTCTGCCCCTATGTTACATTAGCTCCTTTGGTCACACCACAGAGCTTTGTGGATTGGCAGGTCCTCTTCCTTTGCTTTCTCATCCCTCCCAGGAGCTACATTTGAGGCTTTCTCCCTCTCTCCGCTTCCTCCTCGCTGAATCATGCCAGCCCTCTCTACATGCTTCCATCCTTCCATCACCTTTGAGATCTGGCCTCTGACTCAGCTCCCAGCTCCCTTCAGGGGCTAAGCCCTGGCTCCCAGACACCAGTCAATACCTGGCTTAGACTGTGATTTGGTGAGAGGTGGGGTGAGGGGTTGCCCCAATACTGGCTCAGGGCCATTTGGGAGCCTTTTAAGTTTGGGAAGGCAGCTTGGGGCATGGCAGCTGTCAGCACTTGACTGGGAGTTCTGTTTGCCACATTGAACCTCTCTGAACTTCAGTTTCCTCATTTGTAAACCAGAGATAATTATACCACCTTTACAGATGAAAGTGAATGTGCGAATGAGCTTTATGAACTGTAAAGTTGTAAGACAAATGTTAGGTTAGCGTTCTCACCTTTACAGATGAAAGTGAATGTGCGAATGAGCTTTATGAACTGTAAAGTTGTAAGACAAATGTTGTTAGCGTTCAGGGGTGATGTTGTGCACATGGGCTCAGCTTTCCAGGAGGACCTGGGAAATGTCTTCCCCTTCCCTGCTTCTTTCTTCAGATTGTGCTGTGATGACTTCATCCCTGCTTTTTCTAGCCCCATGTCCTTGGGTGCTCCAGCATCACTGTGCCTCCTTTGCTCTGCGGAGTCAGAAAGCCTTCATCACAGTGGTTGATTGCACCAGGCATTGTAGCAGCCCCCGTAAGTCAGGCTGGCTCCAGGGCCCAAGAGACTGGCATACGGGTTCAGACTCAGCACTGGTCATTGTGGAGCACTGTGACTTTCTTACCCTACAAGGCACTGTTTGGTCCAGAGTGGCTGGATAGGGGCCAGTGGACCCAGAGAGCAGCCGGAGTAGGCGGAACCAGTGGTAGCACAGACTTTGGCAAAGGAGGTGGTTCCAGGCCTGGAGTCTGTCAGGAGTGGAGCTGGGGAGGGTGCCCCACAGGGTGGCTATGAGGGCCTAGGGTACAGGCGGAGAAAGGGAATGGGCAGTGTCTTATGGGAAGAGGCTTGTGTGGAGCTACGGCCCTTTCTTGGTATCTCCCCATCTCCAGGCCTAGTGCCATGGAAACCAGGGCTGACAGCCCAGTGTGTTCCTGAGATGCCCACCCCAACAGGGTTGCTTTTGAGAGCCCACAGATCTGTTCCTGCTTGGGTACCATGGTAACCAGGAAATGGTTTGGGGGCTGGGGTATGCAGGCAGAGCCTGGTGTTATCCAGCTCCAGCAGCTGCCCCCAGCAGTAGATCCCTCCTCCTCCCTGAATAACTATTTCAAAGGGGAGGGGGCAAGGACAGGGACTTCTGACTCGGGAGTGTGAAAAGTGTGCTTAACCCAAGTGGTGCCTTTTCTCTTGGCCACTGCTGAATGTATCACAAGTACCCACTGAATTCACACCCGTGGCTAGTGCCCCATCTCTAAACAACAGTTTCTTCTTCTTTTAGAGTGCCATATAGTTTTCTCACTTTCACATCTCTTTCTTTGACCAACATCACATTGGAGTTGATAGGTGGTGACATTCCCATTTTACAGCTGGGAAAACTAAAGTGTGAAGAGTACTGTGACAGAGCTAGCACCAGGCCAGTAGCCTTTATTGAGCATCTGTATCTGCCTGGGAATGTTACAATCAATACGTGATTTAGGGTGATGGAAATAGCTCACCCAAGAAACTACATTTAGTGTGAATAGCGGATAAAAATAACACAGTTACTTAGCATTAATAGAGTTCTTTCTATGTACCAGCCCCAGTGCCAATTGGGTAATCATACTTAATCCAGCCCTGTGAGATAGATTCTATTATTATATCCACATTTCAGACGAGGAAACCGGTACTGGGAAAACTTCAGCAAATTGCTGCAGGGCAGTGCTGACCAATAGGTCTTGCCATGGTAATGGATGTATTCTGTGTCCGCGTTGTCCAGTATTAGTTGCTGCCAGCCACATGTAGCTATTGAGCACTTTAAATATGGCCAGCACGACTGAGGAGCCAAGTGTTTCCTTTGATTTCATTTTAATTGCCATGCATTTTAATAGTGCCTGTGACAAATGTCCTGCCCTATTGGATGCCAAGCTCTAGAAACATGGCACCTGTTGGAGACTGGAGTCCTGCCCTGAAGCACCAATTCCATGTCTCCCAGAAAGACATTCCTAGGCACTGCATTGTCTCTGAGGGGGTTTGGGTTTAAGATGCATCTGTGTTCGTGAGGAGGGGACTGCCCAGGTCCTCTGTGAGTGGGACAGACTGAAGACTTTTTCTGCTTCTTCTTTTGACTCCCTGCCTCCATCATGGCCATGATCCATTTCTTTGCCCAACTGCGTGGCCTGTGCACACTCTACTCACTCCCACAGTGGGCTCTACAGGAGGTCCTCTAGGTGCTGTCAGGAGGAGAGTGATGTGGGGGCCCTATCTGCTGCCTGCAGCCCTCCCCTCAGGCACAGTTCTCATGTGCTTGAGCCCAGCACCCTAGCCTTCAGCTGGCCATGGTTTTCTTGTCTGTAAAGTGAGGATCATCCTGACTCATGGGCTAAATACTCAGTAAGAATTGTAAGAGTCGGGCGAGGGGTGAGTCAGCCACAGACATTTGGGCTAAAGGACATGGTGCTTCAAAGCTTATTCTAGTCCCACTCATATGATCAACCCTATCACAAAAGAGGTTGTTTATTGGGAGTCATGAATACAAAAGAAAAGGAAGAAAGTTTTGCCACCTACCCTTGCCTTGCTCTTCTCCTGCTCTGGGTTCCAGGCCACCTGTAGCATAGTTGCAGGTTCTCCCTGGCAATGGCAGCAGCAGCAGCCAATGGAGAGAACATTAGAATGCCACTCGGCCCCTGTTGTCCGTCCTAATGGGGGTCTGGGAGACACTTGAGAAAGCATGGTGGTGTGGTCCACTCCACCAAATTCAGCCCTTCCTCCCCACACTGACTGCCCAAGCAGGTGTACCCTCTGCGCAGACTCTTCAAGGATGTTATCCTGAGTGGAATTTCTCACTCACAGCCTGTCACACGAATGGGGACCTGATGTACTGTGGGTGCAAACACTTCCTCTAGCCTGGAGCAACCCAGTATAATCATACGTGGGAAATTTCAACACTTGCCTGGCCAGGCCAGGCTGATCATGTGACATTCTGTCTGATGCTTCATACGTTTTAAACCTGAACCATTCTCAGCACAGTTCTCCTTCTCGTCCTGAGGAGATAGTCATGTCAGCATCCTGTGGAAACTCCCACATCTTTGGGGCCTGTGCCCTCCTTTCTCCTCACTTTTCCATGGTGGGATCACTGTGGTGGCCATTTCCTCATATCCCCCTCCTCTACCAAAATCAGGGGGAGCCACTCTTGGCCTTCAGGGTAAAAGCCACACACCTTCAGCTGCTCTCCGTCTCCTGGATCCAAGGGGCCAGCAGAGGCCTGAGGATGCCCCGAGAGTGGCCAGAGCAGCAAAAGGCATCTTCTGTCACATTATGATGTCTAATTCTTCCTTCACTCAGATGTGTCACCCTACAGTTGAACAGTGAGCCTCCATGCACGTGTTTTTTGCCTCAGAACATCTGTCTGTGGAAGTTCTTCTGCATGGACTACTTTTCCTTTTTTTTTTTTCCCTTCCTGCTTTAAATGCTAACACCACCTCTTCTCTGTTTCCTCTTTTTCCCTGAGCAAAAACTCATCTTTAGCCCTCTGTACTCCTGTGACCATTTTATCTGCCCCTCTCATGCCACCTTGTCACTCATTCCTTCTTGCTCTGTGTATCTGGCTTGCCTTTCCTGCCAGCCAAAGGCCCCTGAGGACATGACTGCCTTTTTCACTCCTTAACCTTTGCAGCCACGCACAGACAGTGAGGACAGCGTGTACTGCCATGAGTGGATGTGAGGCAGTGGTAGGCTCAGAGAGCCTCAGAAGCTCCAAGCTCTGGGAGCAACCTGCGTAACACATGGAGTCAGGACACACGGCTGCAAAGGGTACTGAGTCTGTGCCTAAGAGTGGAGTGTGGGATGACAGAAGAGACCAGGGAGCTATGACCTTCAAAGTGTGACCCTCCGACTGGCATTCTCTTGGCCTGTATTAGAAATCCAGACTATGAACTCTAGCCCCAACCTATGGAATTTCAAAATCGGGGGGTGGGTCCCAAAAGTCTGCGGACTAAGGATAGCCTTCCAGGTGATTCCAATATACAGTAAAGTCCGAAAGTCACTGCCAAGGAGTTAAGAGACCTGGGTGAAAATGAGAAGCCTGTTGGTGAAATTTAGAAGCACATGGACTGTGGAGTCAGCCCTCTGTCCAAAGCCCTGCTCTGAGGTAGAATGGTCAAGTGCTTGAGACTCAGTGGAATCATCTCTTATGGTCATTCTCCTTGAGAATTGGCAGTAGTCCCTAAGCTTTCATATGCATAAGAATCACCTGGGTGCTTTTGAAATTTTCAGAAAGTCTTAATTTTGCAGGCCAGATAAGGCTCAGGAATCTGTATGTCCAAGAAGTTTCAAGCTGGTCCTGATGTGGGTGGTTCAAGGATCATTCTCAAAGTCCTGATATAAAGGCCTTGTGTGATGCCTCTCATCTGCTAGATACTGACAGGTGGCTGTAGCTGTCTATGATGAGAACATGGCAGGGGATGCAAGACGGGCGGGATGTTGGGACCAACCGGATGTGCTTGTTGGTCTGGGGAAGGATGGTTCAGTATATTGTTTAAGTAGGTTTGACCAGGAAGCAATGCAGGAAGGTTAGATAGGTTCTTCGTAGAGGTGTGGGGGACAACTGTGAGGGGGTAGTCTTTCCATGGTGTAGGTTTGGGGGTACCCGCTCCCCACTTCCTGGATGGTGTGACCACTTCTAGTTTGAGCCAGGTTTGTGGGCAGAGCAGAGCAGGGCAGGAATGTTAGAGACCGTCTATAAAAAGGGTTTTGACAGTGAGACAGTGACAAATAGGTGGCACCAGAGCCTGGTGGAGCCCTGGACTCCTCCATCAAGCTTCTGGAACACAGTGTGGGGGTATGGCAGGGTCTTGTCTCAAGGAGGCCTGGTTCTGCCACTGGAGCTTGAGCCTCCTGCCTGGCTGCCTTGACAGTTCCTGTCTCACAGGGGCTTGAGGACTTGGGCTGCTGGGTGACATGTTTCTGGGGTGCTGTTCCCACAGGCGCCGCCAGGGGTCTCTGAGCCCCCTCCCCCAACCTGGCCAATCCTGTGCTCCCCAGCCACTGTCCAGCTTGGAGGTGACCCTGGAGTAGGCGTCCCTGCTCCAAGGGGACTATCTCAGAGTCAGATAGGGCCCAAGCCTCCAGCACCAAGTGCCCTGAGGCCCTCTCCACCCGAACCTCGAGACAGCCAGCCCAAATGGAGGGCCCCTCCTCTGCCTGGTCCCAACCACTCCTTCCTAGGCAATGCTGGGAAACGCAGGTCATAGCTTGAGAATGTGGCCCCTGGTGGGGGTGAGAGGGTGGGAGGTAGGAGAAGGACATGTGACCCCTGCTTAACAACCCCCTCCTCAGCCCGGATGCCAATGGGTGCCAGTTAGCAGGGGGTTTTGGGGATGAAGCAGCCTTCACGTTCCTCATCATTGGTCCTGGTGGGGCTGATGGGAGGAGGGCAAATTGCCAGAAGGTGCTCCACAGAACATTTGGGAGGGTTAGGCACAGGCTCATGTCCTGGGCTGGCTGCCGGGCCAGACCTGCCTTTGCAGGACTCAGTTGGCAGAGGGGTGCTGTGGGCCCCCTTAGGTTGAGGAGGCATCTCTGGAAGAAGAACGAAGGTCCTAACAGATCTCTGTTTGCAGGGCTGGATAGAGCAGGCTGTGGCCTGGCTCTATACTATTTGGGATTGTTCAGTGCATTCCCAGGTTGGGGTCTTGGTGGTTTGATCAGGACAAGGCACAGGTAGGGGCATTGGCCATTGGCACCTCCTTTGGTGGACTTATTGACCCTGATGGGTCAGGCTAGAGTCTTGGATACTACAATGCAGTGCCAGCCCACTCCTATCTTCTTCTGGGCCAAAAGACCTGGAGTCAAGGCCCTTTGGAGAGGCCCTGCTCCTGTCAGTGTCAGAGTTGTAAGGAGAGGAAAGGCAGACTGCTGCTTGGGAATGAGCTAAATTCAGCTAGGCTGGGCTCTGCCCCTCCCTCGCTCTCCCTCTGCTCCTGACGGCTGCCTGTGGTCTCAGCAGGCACCACCTTCCCAGCCAGCCCAGTGCTGCCTGCCTGCCTGCCTGCCTGCCACCCAGCCTCTAGCTGGCCACCCCCACCTTCCCCTTCCCCCTTCTGGGCTCCTTCCCCTCCCCCAAGGCCAGCTAAGTGCCGGGCCTTGGCTGGGTCGGTGAGTGAGCGGGGCTGGGCAGGCTGGGCTTGTGCTCCCGGGGGAGCCAAGGCAGAGTGGGCAGTGGGGAGGCAGCAGGAGGGCCTGGTGCCAGGGCAGAGCCTTCAGGAAGGTGCAGGCTGGGGTCCGTGTGCAGAGTCTCGGGGTAAGTTGGGGTGCAGTCCTTCTGGGGGCTTTGGGTGGGGGAACACAGGAGGAGGGGCCAGGGGGCTGTGGCAGATTCATGTCTGTATTTGGCAGTCGGATAGGAGCCAGCTCTGTGAGGCTGGGCCCCTGGCCAGTTACAGGGGAGGGCGTCAGGGCCCTGGGGACTCCCCTCCTCCAAGGCAGACTCTGGTGCCCCCCTTCTTCCTAAGGCTTCCCTTTTCTGTAGGTGACCCCAACTTTCCTATCTCCTGAGAGTTTTGGGGTCCATTCTGTAGGGCTAGGGCCAACAGGTGCCCTGCGGTGTCTATGGCAGGAAGCTGAGAAAGGAGAGGGGGAAGGGCAGGCTGGACAGTGCTGCCTCATTGGCCCTGGATCAAGGTCAGAATCGGGCTTGTCTGAGGTGTGTGTCCCTGTGCACCAGACCCAGCTCTCCTAAGAAATGAATGTCTGGGCTCTGCCACTCTGGGGTTCCAGAGATGAGACCACCTGCTTTAGAAGTCTATGACTGATAGTTTGGGCCCCCAGTCCATGCCAGGAATGTGGGTGCCCTGATCCAGTGGAGTTCCAGGTCTCCCTTAATCCTCTTTGCTGGCCAAGTCCTTTGCATTAGGCCATTCCTGGTGATGTCCCCTCCCAAGAGGATCAGCAGGGTAACTGTTGGCAGAGCCGGCGGCAGATGAGGAATCAGAGGCTCGAGGAGAGGAAGCGCCTGGGCAAGGTCACACAGCGAGCAAGCAAAGCCCAGGAGGTGAAGTCAGGCCAGGCCTGCAGGAGCTACCTGCACTCACTCTGGGCCCTGGGGGATAGCCCAGCCTGCTGGCTCGCTCTCTCTGCCCACTTCCTCCTCTGGCATCCCCTCTGTCTCTCCTCCAGGTGGGTCCACATCCCCTTTCAGCAGCCCCATCACCTCCGATGAGGAGTACCTGAGCCCCCCGGAGGAGTTCCCGGAACCTGGGGAGACCTGGCCCCGAACCCCTACCATGAAGCTCAGTCCCAGCCAGAACCGCCATTCTTCTGACACTGGCTCCAAGGCGCCCCCCACCTTTAAGGTCAGACCCCTGAGGCTGGTGCCCAAACCCCCATGGGCCCCCATTCCTTTGTCTGCTCCCTTGTTCTTGGGCCCATGCTTAGGCTCCAGCAAGACTTGGAACCTTGCCCCCTTAACCCTTCTTACCCAGAGCCACCCTCAGTGTGGAAGAGCCCATTGCCCCTGATTCCCTAACCCCAGGAGCCAGTGCTATACCCTGACTGTCACCCCTCATGCTCCGGGGTCCCCCTCAGGTCTCACTTATGGATCAATCAGTGAGAGAAGGCCAAGATGTCATCATGAGCATTCGTGTGCAGGGGGAGCCCAAACCTGTGGTCTCCTGGTGAGTAGCAGCCACTTTCACCCCCCACAAGCACCCCACCCCAGCCTGGGCCCTTGAGCTGGCTTTGCTGGAATGCAGTGGAGCCCTAGAGGACTTCCCAGGGCCTGTCCCAGGTAGCACTCCCCTATACACTCCTGTCCCTGGGCTGGTGCTCAAGGCTCATTCAGAGCCTCCTCTTCTGGGGAGGGGTTTGATAATACATGGTCTCACATTTGCCCACTTAGGATGAGTAGCCAGAAGTCCTCTTACCCTACCCTCACAGTGGATGGCAGGGTAACTTTTGAGGCCCACTTTGTGCCCAATTCTGTGCTGGGCCTGGTCATCACAATTTGTTTCCGAGTTCCTGGAAACCCAGAGTCACATGTGGGTCTCAGCTGTGGTGCCCTGCTCACCCTGGGGGCCTGGAACATTGACCGCTCAGTGTGTTTTCCTGTTGGTTTGGGTTCTGTTGTTCATTTTTAAATGATTGTCTGGTTTCCACTGTGATATTTTCAACATTGTAAATTCATAGCCCTTTTGGGAAGCAGAAAAGCTATCTTTCCATTATAGATAAATAACAATAAGATGGGGAAAATTAAGAACAGTTCAGAGCTAAATAGCAAGGCTCTATTCCAAATGCAGTGGTTCTAAGCCGAGACCCAGGTGGGCTTCTGTGTTCTGGAAGTTCTTGGAGGGGCATGGTGGTAGAGGCAGGGTGAAGATCTCGCTCAACAACCCCTGGGTGCCCTGGTTAGTAGGACAGGTTTGGGGAGCAAGTGAATAGCGTGGAGTATGAGAGACCTGCGTGTCTCTGCAGTCCTTCTCTGCTGCACCTGCAGGCCAGGTCCCGGGGCTCTGGGCTGAGTTCTTGTCTCTGACAGGCTGAGAAATCGCCAGCCCGTGCGTCCAGATCAGCGGCGCTTCGCAGAGGAGGCGGAGGGTGGATTGTGCCAGCTTCGGATCCTGGCAGCTGAGCGTGGCGATGCTGGCTTCTACACCTGCAAAGCAGTCAATGAATATGGCGCTCGGCAGTGTGAGGCCCGCCTGGAGGTCCGAGGTGAGAGCCTCACACCCTCACGGCCTCCACCTGGCCCCATGCCCACCTACCCATAGCTCTCACACAACCTCGGTCACAGGATGCCACACTCTCAAGGGCTGGGCTATCCCCTAGTCCAGTTGCTTATGTTAAAGTTGAGCAAACTGAGGTCCAGAGAGAGGAAGCAACTTGCTCAGATCCACAGAGCAAATTGTTCCACACTTAGCTTACTACACTATACTGCTTTCCCCGTGTTTCATCATGGCAGCCCCTGATGCCGGCCACAGACCCTGCTTCACATGGCCCGCCATCCTGTCTTCACATCCCCTAAGCCTTTGTCACCATGCTGTGCCAGGCCCCTCACTCATACCCATTCCCCGCTCTCCTCTTGCACCCTTGCCCTCCCTACCTTCCTTTGCTGTGCAGAAGCTCTTGTGGTTGCGGGTAGGGGTGCAGTGGGAGTGTCAGGTGCTGGACCCGTTCGGAGGGACCCTTGGGGTGATTTGGGCATGGAGCACTGTAGGGACCCAGGAGTCCTGGGGTGGGCAGATCCCTAAAATGTGGAGAGAGCTGCGCCTCAGGGTTGGGGACATAACACAGAGACCTCTTAGGAGTTGGGGTGACAGGCCCAGCCAGGCTGCTGTCCTCTCGGCTGCCTGTTGCTGCCCTCCCACCTCTGCCTTCCCTGTGATGGCTCAGAAGCAGGACCTCTCCTCAGCGATTCACTTTGCCATCTTCCCTCCCCGCCTCTCACGAGGCTTAGTTCCTTTGCCTGGCAGAGGCTGGCTCTGGGAACGTCCCGAGTAACCCTTGGCACTTACAGTCATGGTCCCTCTGCCAGCCCTCACCTGCCTCAGCACCCTGGTGCCTCTCCTTCCTGTGGTTGCCACCTCTTTGGTATCTATTCTTCAGTCCCCACCCCCGGCCTGCTCCTCCTCCTCTAGGGCCCAGCTCTGCCTCGCTTCTCTGTGTTAACCCATGTCTTGATGCTTTTCTCTTTGGGATTCCTCCCGACATCCTGCAGGCTTCGGGGTGCTCCTGATGCCTGTGAACGTCTCTCCCCTGGTTGCCCTGGGTCTCTGCTGCCCAAGAACCCGAGGGACCCGGCCTCTGGCTAGCCGATGGCCCTCCCATCCCAGGCCTGGCCTTGGGGGAGCTGAAAGCGGCAGTGCTGCCTGCAGTGTTAGAGGCAGCTCCGTGTCCCGAAGGGCCCTAGCCAGGTCTGTGTGCCAGTGCGTGTGTGCGCGTGCCTGTGTGCGTGCGTGTGCGTGTGCTGCACTAACCTGCCGCTTGCTGACTGAGGTTTTTGTCTGTATACAGGCGAGTGAGCTCAGGGGGCCGCCTGCGCTCCCCCCTGCTACCCTCCGAGCTGCACCCCTGTCTCAGGCACCTCTCGGACCTCGCTGTGTTTCACTGCCTCCTGCCCACAGACCCAGCCGGCCTGCCGGCCCGGACCAGTCCCAGCCTTCCCCCCCTTCCCCTCCCCATGCAGCACCCCAGGGTACCCCACGGGCCCCTGCAGACCTTCCCTCCTCAAATGGACACGTGGCTGGGAGGCCCCCAGGTGGACTGAGTGCTGGAAGGGCTGGCCAGGAGGGGTGTCAAGCCTGTGGGGAGCACCAAGCGAGTGCATGTGCTACGCTGCTGCAGGCCACTGTCTGTCTCTCTGTTTGTCTGTCTGTGTGTCTGTGACAGTCAGGGAAGATGCCTCTGATCTGAGGTGGAGTGCGACCACAGGAGGGGAGAGGGCATGGCACCCACAGGATGGAGGGGCCCGGAGGGGAGGGGCTCACTAGGAGGGACAGGACACTGACCATTCCAGAAAGGGTTTCAAATGGCTCTTTCTATTCCACAGGGGACCAAAAACCCTGGCTGGGTTAGGGCCCAGCAGGGGCTCCCTCATTGGATGTCAGGGCGGGAGATGCTCTGTCTGGGAATGAGGGAGTTAGCCAGGCTTGCTGCAGGAATGGGGCCGTAGTGGGGGTGGAGGTATTTGGAAGCACTATTTCTAAGCTCAAATAAAGTCCAGTTTGTACCCAGCTGGTGTGCTGTGTTTTTTTTTTCTGCCTGCGTCGCTACCTCCGTGTGGCCCTCTTGGTGCCCCTCCCTCCGTTCCCTGTCACCACCCATGAGCTCTCCCTCCCTGGGCCAGCTTGGGGTACATCTCGAAGCCAGAGCTAGGGCTCCTTACTGTTCTGGATGGGTGGGTGGGCTTCCCCCGTCTCCAGAGGAACAAAATGCATCTCTCTCTTTGTGTCTGTCTCTCTTTTGTGTATGCGTGTGTGTGTCTCCCTCACCCTGTGCGTCTTTGCTCTGTGTGTGCCCCTGTGGCTGCCTTCCCCCCAGCACACCCTGAAAGCCGGTCCCTGGCCGTGCTGGCCCCCCTGCAGGATGTGGACGTGGGGGCCGGGGAGATGGCGCTGTTTGAGTGCCTGGTGGCAGGTCCTGCCGACGTGGAGGTGGACTGGCTGTGCCGTGGCCGCCTGTTGCAGCCAGCGCTGTTCAAATGCAAGATGCATTTTGATGGCTGCAAATGCAAGCTGTTGCTCACCTCTGTGCATGAGGACGACAGTGGTGTCTACACCTGTAAGCTCAGCACGGCCAAAGGTAACTACTCACTCAGGCCCTTGGGCTGCAGTGAATGTCTGAGAGAGGAGGGAGGGCACCCGAGGTGCAAGAGCCAGGTGCAGATTGAGATGCCCAAGAAATGGGTCTCTAACTCCAAGGGGAAGTGCAGTGGGGTGAGAGGTACTGCAGTTCACCAGCCCAAACATAGCACTTAGAGGAGTACCTGACATAGAAAGTGCTGTGCTCATGTCTGGGGAGCTAGCTCAGTGGTGCCGCCGCCGCTGGGCTTGCAAGTACAAGGTCCTGAGTTCAATCCCCAGTACCAAAAAAGAAAGTGCTGCTCTCATGCCTCCTGTTCGCATGAGCGATCAAGTCCCCTGAGATGTAGAAAACAAACCAGGACTTGGGCTCCCATTCTTGCCCTGCAAATTCCCAGCCAGTGCCTTTGCACAAGTCACTTCCTCTGTCTGAGCTTTAGACTATTCATCTGTTAAAAAGAAGAATCATGCTAATTCCTTCTTTGTAGGGAGATAGGCAGGATTAGTGAGATAACCAGTGTTATAACAAAGCATGGCACCTGATTGAAGGGTGGCACCTAATTCATGCCAGCTGCCACTTTTGATGACATCTCGGACCTGGCCTTGTCCTCACGTGAAGCACAAAGATGATGGCACCTGCCAATCCACGTCATGAAGCTGGAGAGGCTTAGGGAGTGAGAAGAATCATTGGGTCAGCCCAGGGGCTATTAGCTCCTCCAGAAGAGTTTTTCTTGGGGGTCAGAGTGGAGCCAAGGGGCGTGTGTTGTGGTTGTGGGACAGGTGGGAAGGAGTATGGGTATGCTAGGTACAGAGAAAAGCTCTGAGATTGGGGCCAGGGGAAGGCAGTGGCTTGGTTTCTAGGATGAGGGTGAGGTCAGGGGGAAGGCTGGGCTAGGCCCTGGGCTGCTGTGGGGACCCCACCTGCCCTTACTGACCCCTACCTTCCGAGAAGACTTGGTGTATATATGGATCTTGGTCCACTGGCTCCCCTGTGTTCAGAGCCTTGGCAGGGCTCTGCCTAGGCACCCTCATTTTGGACAGGATCTATGAGATAAGGTGCCTGGGCCTGCAGTGCCTTCCCTGTCCACTGTTGCCTCCTCCTCCCCTGCAGAGGAACTGACCTGCAGTGCCCGGCTGACTGTGCGGCCCTCATTGGCGCCCCTCTTCACCCGGCTGCTGGAAGATGTGGAGGTGCTAGAGGGTCGTGCTGCCCGCCTGGACTGCAAGATCAGCGGCACCCCACCACCCTCTGTTTCCTGGACTCATTTTGGTATGTGCACCCCTACCTGCAGATACCAGGAGGCCCCCATGGGTTCAGACCAGGATGGGGTGTTTCCTGAGGACCTGTCCTACAGTCCTGCCCTCCTGCCCCCAGGCCACCAGGTGGAGGAGAGTGACAACCTGCGGCTGCGGCAGGACGGGGGTCTGCACTCCCTGCACATTGCCCACGTGAACAGTGAGGACGAGGGGCTCTATGCGGTCAGTGCCACCAACACCCATGGCCAGGCCCACTGCTCTGCACAGCTGTACGTGGAGGAGCCAAGGACAGCTGCCTCGGGGCCCAGGTACCACCTGCTACAGTAGACACTGCTACTGAAGGGTCCTTTCCCCCTCTGAGGGGCCTCTGCCCTGTGCGGGGAGGCGCAGCCCTGCACCTTGGACAGCTGTGTGGTTCTTACAGCTCAAAGCTGGAGAAGATGCCATCCATCCCCGAGGAGCCAGAACAGGGTGAGCTGGAACGGCTGTCCATTCCTGACTTCTTGCGGCCACTGCAGGACCTGGAGGTGGGACTGGCTAAGGAGGCTATGCTGGAGTGCCAGGTGACTGGCCTGCCCTACCCTACCATCAGTTGGTTCCACAACGGCCACCGCATCCAGAGCAGTGATGACCGGCGCATGACACAGTGTATGTGTTCAGGAAGGGTCCCTGGCTCCTAGGCTCCTTGTGGGCTTTCTTTCTGCAGCTTGGTTGGAGATGGGGTTCCTGGGGAAGGGAGGTCTCGGGGTCTGTGAAGTCATTGCACTCCTCCTTGAGCCCACGCAGTGGTCATCTGCTGGTGGCCCTGGTGGCTCTTCCTGGACAGTCAGTAAGGAGCTACAATGGAGCTGTTAGAACGAAATCAGTTTATACGTTTGAAACCAAGAGTATAGTAAGGAGCTACAATGGAGCTGTTAGAACGAAATCAGTTTATACGTTTGAAGGACCAAGAGTAGGGCCTGCAGGTGGCCAGCAGAGTCTAGGTCTTTTGCTCTTGTTATTGGGCCATTCTCACTGTTGGGGTGAAACAGCGCTACCCATGTTCCAGAGGGAGGTCAGGAAGGGCTGGGGTGGGCCGGCTCTGGCCGGGAAAGGATGCTTGTCCAGCGTTGTGAACAAATAGCAAATAAGAAAGAAAGAGCCAGAGAAGTGCAGAGGTACAGATTTGGGTTGGTGTCCTCCTGGCTTGGGGCCTGTTCCGAGGGAACACCTCTCTTGCATTCTTGAAAGAATCTGAATCTGTGAGTTCCTCCTGCCTCCCTTAAGGCATGCTCACATTGTTACCCCTGATGGTTTCCTCCTACAGCTGCAAGTGACCAAGGTCCCCCTAAAGTGCTTTCTAAGTACCAGATTCTCAGTGCTAACAACTTGATGTGGATGATCTTACCTTCTGCAGGCCTGTGGGTAGATACTCCTAGCCCTGTTTACAGATGGGGAAACTGAGGCTTAGAGAGGTATAAGGACTTGCTCAAAAGCAAGTGAGGACTGCTGTACTCATTTCCATCTCCCAAAGGCTGTTCCTAGCCACCCATGTCCCAATCTCCTTACCCTACCCAACTCTGGTGCCGCCACCTCGGCTATGACCCTTGTCCTCGGTCCCATGCCACAGCTGAGATTCCTCAGCCCCAGGCCTCCCTGTCTCCCCATCTGCTCTGAGGCCCCAGGTGGGGCTGCTTCAGCCTGTATCTGGGGTCACTGGCAGCTTTTGTCTTTTCCTCCCTTATAAATAGCTGTGAGCAGAGATAAATGAATGGGTGGCTGTTCTATGCAGAGATAACTGCTAAGAGAAAGGAGGGGTGTTTGGTGACATTCCTGATGTGAAGGAGGACACTGCAGGTCTCCTCCTCTTCCTGTCCTCCCCAGAGACAGCCTCCTTATCATGCAGGGAGCAGGGTGTAAGGAGAAAGCTTTGGAATGGAACTAAGATGGAAGTGAGTTCAGGCAATGGCTTCATATTTATTAGCTGTGTGACCTTGGACAAGTCAATCAATGTCTCTGACCTCACACTGGTCATTGGGATAATTCTGTAGCATTGTTGAAAGGATGGGAGGGGTCAAGTACTGGCATAGGTTGGGCCTAGGAGTGGGGGTGGGGCACAGAGGGTGCTGTGGAAGAGGAAACCTAGGAGTGGGGGCAGGGCAGAGAAATCTTACTATAATTTATAACATAATGAAGTGGGTTCTGCAGGCAAGACGTTGAGTTCCGGGTGGAACAAGCAGATCTGGACCAAGCAGACCTGTCTTTAAGAGAACAAGCCAGACAGGAGCTATAACTCGTAAAAATAAAGAGGAAGGATCCCCTCCCTTCTGCAAAGCAGCATGGGCCCTGTGATGTGAAGCAAAAGGGCTGGAGTCCCAGAGAAGGAGTCAGGGAACAGCTTAGGCAAGGGTTTGGCACAAGGCAGGGTGGGCCTCACGGGGCTGCCCTTCCTTGAGCTATGTCCTGAGGGAACAGGAAGCCTTAGGTAAGAAAGCATTCCAAAGGGAGGCGCTTTTTTCCCCCCCTCAGTATTGAGGTTTGAACTCATGGCCTTCACACTGAGCTGCAACCTTAGCCTTTATTTTGAGACAGGGCCTTGCTAAGTTGCCCAGCTGGGCTTGAACTAGCAATTCTCCTGCCTCAGCTTCACAGAGCACTGGGGTTACAGGCGTGTGCCACCATGCCCTGCCAGAGGGAGGCATTTCGTAAGCAAAGGCCTGGAGAGGGAACACATGTGGTTTGTTCAGGGATGACCAGCATCAAGCCTGGGGAAGGAGCAGTGAATGTGGCTGGGAGTTTGGGCTGTGGCCTTTTCTCGGGCTGTGCTGGAGAAGGCACAGAAGGGCAGTGGCCATGGGAATAGGGAAGGGACTTGGAGAGGACCTAGGAGCAAAGCCTTGTCACAATTTCAGCTGGAAGGCTGTGACCCCTTAGAGGTGCAGTGACTAGACAGTGCACGGGTAAGGACCCCAGCGAGTGACACAGAACGTGCTAAGATGCCGGGCCTGAAGAGCCGGAAGGACAGTGATGAGGCCAGGCTGCAGGTGCAGGCGTGGATCCAGCTTTGGCTGCATGAAGGACGCATTTTCTGCCGCCTCTCCTGTCCTTCCCCCTTTGCCTCCTCCCAGCAGTGGGTGGTGTGAGTGGCCAGCCCCAGGGTAGCATGAGCCCACCCCTCCAAGCATCTTATTAGCTCAGCCCTGGGGTCACTGTCCTTCCTCCAGACAGGGATGTACATCGCCTAGTGTTCCCTTCCGTGGGGCCTCAGCATGCGGGGGTCTACAAGAGTGTCATCGCCAACAAGCTGGGCAAAGCTGCCTGTTATGCCCACCTCTATGTCACAGGTAAGACAGGTGCCCTCCTTGGCAGCTGTGCCCCCAACCTGACTTCTAGAATCACTGAGAGGGTCGGATGAGGGAGGGGCCTCCAGGTCAGCTTCTCTCAGTTCCCTGAGGACCACTGGCCTTGCCCCTGCCCCTGTGACTGGGCCCTGGTCCTCAGCCTCCTGCCCCCGAGGCTTGAGGACCCTGTGGAGCTGTTAGCCCCTGAAGGACCCACAGACCTCGGACCTGTGGCTTTCAGATGTGGTTCCAGGGCCTCCAGATGGTGCTCCGCAGGTGGTGGCTGTGACGGGGAGGATGGTCACACTCACATGGAACCCCCCCAGGAGTCTGGACATGGCCATCGGTAGGTCAGGGCCATGCAGGGCTCTGGGTGGGGATGAGGTGTGGACAGGACGGGGAAAGAGAAGGGCACTAAAGGATTCAGGTCCCTAAGAATAGGGTGGCAAGGTGGGGACAGGAGTGGGTGGAATATGGGGAGCAAGGTCAGAGAGAGCACATCTGCTGGCTTCTTTCCACAATGGATGAGGCTCTTACTCCAGATCAGAAGAGACACAGGGTGCCACCACATGCTCTTCCCTTTCTCAGAGAGACTGAGAGCCTGGATCGTAGGTGTGAGGCTGGCAACATCCTCTCCTGGCCTTGTCTAGGGTCTTTCACTGGGAGACAAGTCCAGCTCGCTCCAGGCCTATAACTGGTGGCTTGTTGACTTCAAAGCTGGCCAGAGCACAGGGTGAGCAAGTGCAGATGGGAGGTAGGCAGAAAACAACAGGGCCAATGGAGCCAGGAGTTCAGAGAAGACCGGAGATGAATTCCAGGGGCCCAGACCAACTGGGTGGGGAGCCACAGTGCTGCCCCAGCAACATCAGCCTCTAGCAGCTGCCTTCCCTCCAGACCCAGACTCCCTGTCGTACACGGTGCAGCACCAGGTGCTGGGCTCTGACCAGTGGACACCGCTGGCCACGGGTCTGCGGGAGCCCGGGTGGGCAGCCATGGGGCTGCGAAAGGGGCTCCAGCATGTCTTCCGGGTCCTCAGCACCAGTGGCAAGAGCAGCAGCAAGCCCTCACCCGCTTCCGAGCCCGTACAGCTGCTGGAGCGAGGTGAGTGGGGTGCTCCCATGGGCCGCGGTGTGGGGCGGCGTGAGGTGGGGTGAGGTGGGACAGGGTGAAGGCTTAACCTTTAACTGGCAGGAACGACCTATCTGGGCCAGGCCTCGGCCCCATCAGTGGCAGACCGGCTTAAAAGAGCTCATGCTTTGGGGTCAGCCAACCTTGCTCTGGTTGTGTGCCCTGTGTTCCCCGGACAAAAGGTTCTACCTCCCTGAGCCTCAGCTTCCTCATCTGTAAATTTGGAGCTTGAGTGGTGGTTGGGGGTATAAAAGAAGCAGCCGGTGCCAACACCCCAGCATCAGCCCCACGTAGAGCCCAGCTTCTCTTCTCAGGCCCACCCCTGGAGGAGGCCCCTGCCGTGTTGGACAAACCAGATGTTGTATATGTGGTAGAGGGACAGCCAACCAGTGTCACTGTCACCTTCAACCACGTGGAGGCCCAGGTCGTCTGGAGGAGGTAGGGCCCCCTACTCACCCCACTCCCTACATGTAAGAGCCGTGCCCCGGCCTGGCCTAGCAGGACCTCCCTCTCATGTGTCCCCCAGCTGCCGAGGGGCCCTCCTGGAGGAACGGGCAGGTGTGTATGAACTGAGCCAGCCAGATGATGACCAGTACTGCCTTCGGATCTGCCGGGTGAGCCACCGGGATGTGGGGCCCCTCACCTGCTCGGCCCGGAATCGCCACGGCACACAGGCCTGCTCAGTCACACTAGAGCTGGCAGGTGGGTGACAGCAGCCTTCTTCCCCTTCCTCCCTCTGAACCGCACTCCCAGGTACACACATGCATCTGCCTCCCCTGGGGATCCGATCTCATGTGCTCCCCCTCAGGCCTATCCATCTGATGGCAATAATGATGTCAGTACTAGTAATAGCCTCAGTGATGTACTAGCAAGGCATATACAGAGCACCAGCCTGGACCAGTATACCTCATTAAATATGTACATCAGCTTTGCGAGATGAGTCACTATCCCCATTTCATAGATGAGGAAATGAAGGCTCAAGGAGTCACTTAAGTAACTTGGCCCAAGGTCCTACAACCTGATAAGCACAGGATCTGGGTTCAAGTCTGCATATCAGGCTCCAAAGCCTGAAAGCATTCCTAGCTCCTATGCTAAATCCAATAGGAAATAGTATTTCAGCTGTAACAAGCATGGGAAGACTGAGTTGATTTTATTTTATTTTTCTGAGTTGATTTTCAAAAACAAGAGCTCGTGTGCCCAGCTTATCACTTGACTCCCAGCTCTGCGGCTCCTGGCTGCCCTTTTACTTAAGCCTGTTTAACAGAACCTCCCAACCTTTGCAGCAAAGGCCCTTTTTATAATTTCTCCTTTAAAGATGTAGCCTCTCGAGCCGTAGCATGTATTAGGCAGTAATTATTTTGTTTTCCGGTTTGTTAATTAACTCCAGACATCTGTAACTGCCACTCAGAACTTCAGATCCACACGAGCTGAACTGTGTTACCTGCTGAGTAGATGCAGTTCCAGCCAAAAGCAAAGAAAGTGACATTTTAGTTAGCACAGGCGATCTTTGGGCAAATGAATGTTTTGTGGGGCTTTAAGATAGTTGCTGATATTTATGTGAAACCTGCCAGTGCTTTGACCTTCATAGACTGCCCTCCCACACCCCTGTAGACTAGGGACCAGATTCCTAGGCCAGAAGGAAAGTGTCCACAAAGGATGTGAGAAGAGATGGGGCCCTCCTGGCTCCCCGGGGGGATGGTACATGGGGTGGAGCACCAGATCCCCCGGGCCCTGTGTCTCCCTTTGATGAGTCTTGCCCCTTGCCCATCCTGCCACTCCCAGCACTTTCTACTCAGCTACCACTTTGCTCCTTGCCATCTCCTAGACTCATCTTCCTTCCAGACACAGCCCTATGTCTGGGACTCAGGGAGGCCCTGGCCCCAAGAGCCCCACAGCCCAGCCTAGACAGAACAATGGCCGACGGAAACCATTTCCCTGCCAGCCAAAGCTAAAATGGACCTCGGGCTAGCCTCAATAGCCATGTTCTGCTCCACCTCACTCCACACCAGCCAGGCAGGACAAGTGGAACGGTCGCTCCCTTTCCTCCATGTCTGCACACACCAGTGTCTTTTCCACCCCCAGGATGGCCTCCTGGTATCTGTATAAAAGCTGGTGGTCCCTGTGATAGGGGTGGTCTCTACCTGGCCACCCTGTTCTTCCCTGGAGGCCTGTTCACTGCCACTCCCCTTAAAGCGAGATCCTCAGACATACTCAGGATGGGGAAAGCACGTTGCAAAGTGTATGTAATTCCACCATGAGAATGAGATGGTAGATGGCTCCCAGCCATCTAAATAAGATTCAGAAAGGAAAAAAATCTCAAGACACAGGTGGCAGACTGAGCCTCCTGCAGATTCCAAGTACAGACGCAGAAAAGGCTGTGGTGGGACTGTGAGAAAGAAATGGCCTCCAGGGGGCAGCATTGAGCTACACCTCACCCATAGGTTACAGGGAGGGAAGCAGCTTAGGATAATGACCAGTGTTGATTTTTCAAAAGAGACAGCAAATCCAGATTTCCTTTATGTGTGCAAATCTCCTAATTTCAAAGCCTGCAAATGAACATCAAGGGTCTAACAGAGCAAGCCTGCCGCTGTAACACTGTTTCTGAGATTTAGATTACGTTATGTTTGGATTGATGGTGAAGGCACTGGGGGCAGGTGACAGGAACTGTGGTGTTCCAAGGGGTGGGGCTCTGCAAGGCTGAGCCTGTGGTTTTGGTTTTTTTTCTTTTTTCGGTTTGTTTGTTTTGTTTCTTCCCCAGTACTGGGGATTGAGCCCAGGGCCTTCGTACTGAGCTATAGCCCTATCCCTTTTTATTTTTTGAGACAGGGTCTCACTAAATCACCCAAGAGGGACTTGAACTTGCAATCCTCCTGCCTCAGCCTCCCAAAGTGCTAGGATTACAGGCGGGTGCTACCACACCGAGCTCAGTCTGGTGTTCTGACTGAGTCCATTCCTGATGGGGATTTGGAGAAGGGCAGAGGAGGCAGGCCTTTGTAATAATGACATCCCACCCCTTCCCTTGCCCTCTCCTTCCCTGTGCATCTCAGAGGCTCCGAGATTTGAGACAATCATGGAGGATGTGGAGGTGGGGGCTGGGGAGACTGCTCGCTTCGCTGTGGTGGTTGAGGGGAAACCAGTGCCGGACATCATGTGGTACAAGGTGAGAGAGTGGTGCAGGCCAAAGCAGGAAATCAGCCAGCTGGCCAGGAGCCTGTGGGAGGAGGAACAGGTTCCTTGGGGAGCTGGACTCCTGGGAGGCCTTAGGATGGGGAACCTTAGGATGGAGGCCAAGGTGTGGTTAGAAAGAGGGCAGAGCCCAGGGGCTAACTGAGGGGGTGTGGGCCTATTAGTGGGAGCTGAGGGGTTCGAGCTGATTTGGGTTCTGGTGGGGCAAGGCTCCTGGGGTGGAACCCCTGAGTGGAGACAGAGTGGCCCTTGGGTGGAGATGCTGTTGGGTCCCTGGCGTGGAGGTAAAGCGTCATGCCAGACGGAAGTGGGATCAGGCTCAGGCTGGCATGGATGCCCCCGTCTGCAGGATGAGGTGCTGCTTGCTGAGAGCAGTCATGTCAGCTTCGTGTATGAGGAGAACGAGTGCTCCTTGGTGGTGCTCAGCACAGGGGTGCAGGATGGAGGCGTCTACACCTGCATGGCCCAGAACCCAGCAGGCGAAGTCTCCTGCAAAGCAGAGTTGGCTGTGCATTCAGGTGGGCTGGAGCTGCCCCCGAGACTGTGGTGTGAGCCCCACCCACCCTGGAGCCAGCTCACCCCACTTCGAGTCCTCCAGCCCCCACCCCACCTCTGGCCACACCATTCTTGCTCTTCTGCCTCCCTCTGTCCCACCTTCCCCGCCTCCGCCCTCGTCCCTTTCTTGCTCTCCCCACCTATCTCCAGGACATTTGTCTCCCCTTCAGCTCAGACAGCTATGGAGGTCGAGGGGGTTGGTGAAGACGAGGAGCATCGAGGAAGGAGACTCAGTGACTTTTATGACATCCATCAGGAGATCGGCAGGTGTGGGGCCATGAGGAGCCAGTGTTGGGGGCCACAGGGTGGGTCTGCTGGGTCCGAGGGCCAGGAAGGGTGCAGAGCCCGCAGTGACATCTGTTGCCCTCCTTGTCACCCAGAGGTGCCTTCTCCTACCTGCGGCGTGTGGTGGAACGCAGCTCTGGCCTGGAGTTTGCGGCCAAGTTCATCCCCAGCCAGGCCAAGCCCAAGGCATCAGCAAGGCGGGAGGCCCGGCTATTGGCCAGGCTTCAGCATGACTGTGTCCTCTACTTCCATGAGGCCTTTGAGAGGCGCCGCGGACTGGTCATTGTCACCGAGCTGTATCCTGGGAAAAGCTGGGGAGTAAAGGCCACCCGTGCTTGAATGACTGGTCTTCGTAACAACTGATCTTCGACACTTGTTACCGTTTACAAAATAGCCCCGTTGAGCTTTGGGAACATTGAGTCTGAGACTTCTGTGAAAGCCAACATATTTTTTTTTTAGCTTACACTTCACAGCATTTAACAAGTGGCTGGCAGTGTTGTAAGAGTTTTACAAATGTTAAAACACTCACCTCTCCTGCATACCTACCTCATGGGATTGTATTAGCCCCATTTTATGGATGATGAAACAGGTAGAGATAGGTTAAAAAACTGGCCTGAGGTTACACATCTGGCAAATGGAAAATGCTTTTTAATCATAAGTTGTGGAGCAGTATTTGTGCACCTCTGAAAGAACAGAGCTTACTCTTCCGTGATTAAGAAAGCTATATTGAGCTAAGGCTGCTGAGCGATTGGCTCAGCTGTCCTGTAGCAGGGTGACCATGACCTGCACACCAACATCCTTGGCTGTACTGTTAAATCCAAATCTTAGCAAAATGACGAATTGTTCCGTGTCCTGGCCCTCTGGCTCATTATCAGTTGAATTAACAAGGTTCTGCTATAATTTGGCCCCCATAAATACTGTGTTGAGTGGGCAGGAGAGGAAATGGCACCCCCGTTTTACCCCTGAGGGAAGGCTAAGTGACTTGCCTGGGATCCTGTAGTAAGTGAGAGTTCAAGCAGAGTTGTCCCATCTGTGTACCCAGAGGACAAGGAAGGGGAAGGCACCATCTCTAACTGCTACCAGATGTGCTTCGGGGGGAGGAGAATTCTGCACTGCTCAGAGCCTGTGCTGAGCTCTGGGGTTGGGCTGGGCGGGTGACACTGGTCACTGTCTCCTTGACCCCTGACACAGCTGCACAGAGGAGCTGCTGGAGCGAATGGCCAGGAAACCCACCGTGTGTGAGTCTGAGGTGAGGGCAGTGGGTGGCAGGGGCCAGGTTGAGCACCAGCCTTCACCCACCTGAACTCTGAGAACTGCTGGGTGGGCCCCACACATTCCATCTGTGCCCACAAGGAAGGCAGAAGTGATGGTAGAGAGCACCGTGAAGCTGGCAGCAGAATGCCCCACCCCAAGACCTCCATCTATTTGGGCTTTGCATTGTCCTCTCTGATCTCATCAAGCCTGTCCCTATCCCTCTCTGTTGTTTCCCAGACATATTCATTCTCCAAATATGTCTTCCCACATAGGTTCTACCTAGAGTCTGTTGATCTCACTGCAGTCCTGCCATGTATGGCTATGTAGGTAGTATACTATTCATTATCATGTAAATGTCTGACCCCAGTAATAGTGCTATGTCCACTCTGTGCAGCTGTATGATGGTCCTAGGTCTTAGCAACCTCCATGAGCCAACTGAAGGCCACTCCCAAGGCATGATCTGACTGCTTGTCACAGCCCTGGTGGTTGATAATCAAGCATAGTTCCCCACCCAACTCCACAGACCCTGGGCTCCTTGTTTCCACAGATCCGGGCCTATATGCGGCAGGTGCTAGAAGGAATATGCTACCTGCACCAGAACCATGTGCTGCACCTAGATGTCAAGGTAAGGTGGAGAGTAGGGAGCAGGCAGCTCCTGTGGGAGTTGGAAGGTAGGTGCTCATCTCTAGCTTGCTTGTGTCTCACAGCCTGAGAACCTGCTAGTATGGGACGGCGCAGCGGGTGAAGAGCAGGTTCGCATCTGTGACTTCGGAAACGCCCAGGAGCTGATCCCAGGGGAGCCCCAGTACTGTCAGTATGGAACACCTGAGTTTGTGGCACCAGAGGTTGTCAACCAGAGCCCCGTGTCTGGAGTCACTGACATCTGGTAAAGCTGGTGTGCTGGGCTGCTGGGGGCTTCCTTGCTGTCAGAGGACTATGATAAAGCCTGGATTCCTTCTCTGCCCAGGGGTGGGGGGCTGGTATCAGTGTTTATAGGGTCCCCTGCCCTGTTCTCCTGGTCCTTGGTCAGGCCTGGCTAATCATGCAAGTTCTCAGCTCTGCAGTCCTTGGCTCCTGCCTTTGCAGTGAGGAGGCACAGTCCCACTGGACGCCAGACTTCTCTGGGCTTCCTAAGCCAGCCCTGCTGAGAATGACCCTTGACTTCTCCACGATACTTAGACTCCTGGGTTCAGAGTCTTTCCTAAAGAAGGCCCTCCTTTGTCCATTTGTCCAGGGCAGTGTTCCCAGGAGGACACATTTCTTTCAGATTTGAGGTAGCAGGGAACTGCTCACTTGCAGCTGGGGGGGCATCCTTTCATCTATCTGCCCTTCTTTCCTACAGGCCTGTGGGTGTCATTGCTTTCCTCTGGTAAGGACCCCTCCACAGTCTCCTGGCAGGCCCACCCCTACCATTTACAAAGCTCATGGTCCACCTCTTCTCTTCCATAACCCCTGCTCCTTCCTGCACTGCCAGGGGCACATGAGTGCATGAACATGGGTGCCCTGATCCATGTGCCCATCCTCTGTTCATTACATGCCCCTCCATAAGAGCTGGGCACACTGAAATGAAAGAGGCCAGTGCAGTTCCTGTGCCACTGTGGCCCTGAATGTGCAGAGTAAGAACTAGGAGGGGTGGGGCAGAGAGAGGGTGGGACACACTGGAGGTGGGACAGAACGGGTCCTCTAAAGCATGGGCAATCAAGTTCCAAGGCAGGACTGCCCCCCCATCCCTTGGGTGGCCTGGGAGGTAGGGCAGGACAGTGACAGTCTGAAAGCTTTACCTTTTTGTCCAGATTCACCTGGCATCCGCCATCCTCACAGCCTGGGACCTCTACCCCCCCACCTGCTTCACCCCTGCCTCAGCCCAGGGCCCTGCCCACCTCTCCTAACATTACTGCCTCCCCCTGCAGCCTGACGGGAATCTCCCCATTTGTTGGGGAAAATGATCGGACAACATTGATGAATATCCGGAACTACAATGTGGCCTTCGAGGAGACCACGTTCCTGAGCCTGAGCAGAGAGGCTCGGGGCTTCCTCATCAAAGTGCTGGTGCAGGACCGGCTGTGAGTACGCGACCCTGAAGACTCCGCACACTTGTAGAGACCTTTATCCACCCCCCTACTCCTACCCAGTGTCGGCCTTTAAAAGTGCAATCTCAGCTCCTTGAAGGCTCTGTTTTCTCAAATATTTATTGACTGTATGAATGCATGAATGTTAAATCTCTATTTACTTCTTATTCCTTTACAGGAGACCTACTGCAGAGGAGACTCTAGAACATCCTTGGTTCAAAGTGAGTCTAGTCTTGCTGGGTGGTGGTACAAGGAAGATAGAGAGAGAGAGAGAGAGAGAGAGAGATTTGAGAGAGAAAGCTCCACTTACTGAGCACAGATACGCAGTAACTGATATGCATTTTCTGTACATATGATCTGTTAACCTAATAATAGCTCTGCAGAGTAAGGTTTCATTGCTCCCATTTTGTTGATAAGGAAACTGAGACTCAAACCAGTGATCAGGTTAGGGTATCATGGACCCCACCCCACCCCAGGAGTCCTCTTCAAGGTTCTCTCTGGTGCTGGAGACCAGCCTGGTCTCTCTGACTTTTGTGTGCCCACCTCTGTCCTGCACTGATTAGTGGGTGGCCTCCCTGGCTCATCCTCTCAGCTATGAGCTGTGTGTGGTTAGGTTCTCTTTCATCTTCAGACCCCAGCACTGGAGCACAGTGCCAGGCTCAGGGTGGGGTGCCATGGAGTCTAGAAAGCACCTGAATAAACATTCCAGTGAGTGCTGAGCTAGCTCAGCTGAAGACTGAGGTCGTTTTGCTCCTGACCTTGAAGTTAGAGCCTCCTTCCTCAGACCATGAGCCTGAGTGGAGCCTGGACTGAGGGAAGTTTCTGTCTTGGTCTGGACTACAGCTCCAGATGTCTGGGATGCTGGCCTTACATGGAGACAGCTGGGGAACTGGGGGCCAGCCAGGGGCCCAAAGGCACAGGCCTCCCTGGCAGCCAGTATACCAGGAGAGGACCTTGAGCCCCCATTCAAACTGAAAAGCCACCCCTGGTAGCCATCTGTTTCCTGCTTCTTCCCTTAAGTTTGGGGAATTTGTCCAGGGCTGTGACCTTTTTCAGTAGGAGGTGTCCTGACAGTCCCAAGGGGTCCCCCAGGAGCCCAGACTCTCTCTACACTCTCTTCCATGGACTATGTCTCTCCATTGCCCAACCTTGAGGGTCTAGGAGACAGAGAACAGTCCCTCAGGCCTTTTTTCCTGGGTTTGCAGACACAAGCAAAGGGCGCAGAGGTGAGCACAGATCACCTGAAGCTCTTCCTGTCCCGGCGGAGGTGGCAGGTGAGTTTGGCTATCCTTTTCATCTCTCATTCCCCTCTCATCCAGCCTTTGTACCTCCTTCTCCTCTGTCTCCATTTTTCCTTGTCTTCCCTCCTGTCCCTGACCTCTGACTGCCTAGGCCTCTTTTGCCTGGGGTGGGGCTAGGGGGCAATCTTGCCCTGGACTTCCCTGGTCTGATTATAACACCTGTCTCCAGCGCTCTCAGATCAGCTACAAATGCCACCTGGTGCTGCGTCCCATCCCAGAGCTTCTGCGGGCACCCTCGGAGAGGGTGTGGGTGGCCATGCCCAGAAGACCACCTCTAAGTGGGGGCCTTTCATCCTCCTCTGACTCTGAAGAGGAAGAGCTGGAGGAGCTGCCCTCTGTGCCCCGCCCCCTGCAGCCCGAGTTCTCAGGCTCTAGGGTATCCCTCACCGACATTCCCACTGAGGAGGAGGCCCTGGGGACCCGGGAGACCGGGACTGCCACCCCCATGGACTGGCAAGAGCAGGGAAGAGCTCCCTCTCAGGACCAGGAAGCCCTCAGCCCTCAGGCCCTCCCCTCTCCAGGCCAGGAGTCCCCGGCTGGGCCCAGCCCCAGGCGAGGAGAGCTCCGCAGGGGCAGCTCCGCGGAGAGCGCCCTGCCCCGGG